ATACTTGTCAAGAAAGTATAACTTGGGGTCCAATTAGAACTTGGATAATAAGCTAGAAAGTTATAAAATATGAAACTTGGGGTCCAATTAGAACTCTGATGAGTTTATAAGAGTTGCTTCTTTTTCAAAAACAAATTACTTGGTTTTATCATTTGCAAATCTTAATTTTTGTTTAAGTCAAGTCCAGACAATTTGGTACTCCCTAGCCAATTAAACCACGAACCAATATCCGGTTTGCTTGGACCGGTGAGAATTATAATCCAATTTCAATTTTTCAATGCGCGGTTTTCTATTCCCGCCATTTTTTTATTGTCCTTATCCAGATTCTCTATCCGATCTCCGAGTAAGAAGCCCTAAAAAAAAAGCGAGAGGGATGGATAAACATGGCGATGATCTACAGAGTGATTCTTTCGACGATCACCGTTACGTCTCCGGTACGATTAATAGAATACGCCTTGAGAATTTTATGTGCCACAGTAATCTCGAGATTGAGTTTGGCGACTGTGTCAATTTCATCACCGGCCAAAACGGAAGTAAGTGCATTCCCCCCCCCCCCCCCAAAAATCGGCTTTCAAATCGATTATAGATAATTGAAATGGCTTGTAGCTGCGTTTTCTTGATTTGGGTTTCTGCTAATTTCGGTAAAAACACGATTTTTAAGCTTCGATTTTGGTCGGGTACGGTAGTAAAGTACTGAATCTAATTCCGGTGATTTGATTTGAGCTTTAGGAGATAGCATTTCGTTATTGTATGATTGACCAATTTAAGGAGATGTAATAAGTATTGGATAGTTCTGTGTTTGCTGTATTACTTTATACCTTTAGAGTGATTTTTTTCTTCCTGTAATTTTCAGGTGGTAAGAGTGCAATATTGACTGCTCTATGTGTTGCGTTTGGATGTCGAGCCAAGGGGACTCAACGCGCTTCGACGCTGAAAGATTTCATAAAAACGGGATGCAGGTTTGTGTGCACTTATGCTGTGTGTAAATTTGCAAAAGCTAAAGGGTTTTGGGGGTGTAGGATAGCACTTAAACACATATACGGCAATGATTAAGGAATTGCTGACTTTTGCTTCTCCACGAAATGACATCAATTTATATGTTTTTTTTATTTCTTTGCAGCAATGCCCTTGTTCGTGTCGAAATGAAAAACGAAGGAGAGGATGCTTTTAAGCCTGAGATATATGGTGATGTTCTTATTATTGAACGCAGGATATCTGAATCTACTAGTTCTACGGTTCTCAAGGATCATCAAGGTTAATATATAATCTCTATCCATCTGATGTGACTTCTGATTTTTTTTCAATGTGATTGGGTCTCCACATTGTTTTCGTTATGATTGTCAATTTGTTGTTGTATATCTTCTTAGTTATTATGTCAACTCGACCAAGTCTTACTGTATCTCGTTTGATCAAACTGAAATTGATTCAAGATGTTTTCTGCTTAATTCTTTTCTGCAACCTCTGTTGTCCAGGAAGAAAAATATCAAATCGAAGGGAGGAGCTACGGGAACTAGTTGACCATCATAACGTGAGCTTTTCTCTTTGATACAAGTTTAAAAGCTTGATCATATATTTTATTCAGATCATATACCGATTAATTGGATCTGCATTTTGCTTTCTTTGACTAGATTGATGTTGAGAATCCATGTGTGATAATGAGTCAAGACAAGAGCAGGGAGTTTTTACATTCTGGAGATGACAAAGATAAATTTAAGGTATATCCCGTAAAATAAGTATGTGGTGAAGTCAATCTTGTTGATATTGTTGCTGAAAGCTTTTGTTTTGTAGTTTTTTTATAAGGCAACTCTTCTTCATCAAGTCGATGATCTTCTTCAAAGTGTAGACACAACCTTGAAAGCTGCTAATGCTCTTTTGGATGAGTTGGAGGAGACTATAAAACCAATAGAAAAAGAGATTAGTGAGTTGGTTGGAAAGATTAAGAATATGGAGCAAGTTGAAGAAATAAACCAACAGTTGGTGCATTTGAAAAAGAAACTAGCTTGGTCATGGGTATATGATGTGGATAGGAATCTCAAGGAACAGAACGAGAAGATTCTGAAACTCAGACAACGAGTGCCCACTTGTCAAGATAAAATTGATCGGAAACTGGTAAGTAAGAAGATGATCTCTCTATTACCTCAAATTTGGATTGCTATGCACAATCAGAAATTTGCAGGGGTGAAAGACTTGTCTAAGTTTATCTTGGATACTTTACCACTGAAGTTTATTAGTTGCATTAATTAGAGAAAGTTTTGAAGAAACAAAAATGTTGAAGGTTGAGGTTAGTTCTACCTAGTACATTCTCATATGGCCACACACATTATTTGAGTACCTTTGTGCATTCTTCATTTCTGTGAGGTTGAGCTTCTAAAATGTTTTATTATCTTACACCATGAATACCTTTGTGCACTCTTCATTGTAGCATCAATGCATACCTTAACATATCGCTTGAATCCTTTTTCTTGGAGTTGATTATAGCTGACCGTTTTTGTAGGGTGAGGTGGAATCTTTACGGGAAAACTTGACCAAGAAGAAAGCTCAAGTTGCATGCCTGATGGATGAATCAACTGCAATGAAAAGAGAGATAGAGATTTTGCGGGAATCAACCAAGAAGGTATGTTAAAAATTAGTTATAAAAAGAAGGGTCTCAGTTAACAAGATGAGCCCTAAAGTATGTAATTTGATAATTTATCTTACCTCTTGTTTACAAACTATATTTTCTTATTCAGCAAGTAGGAAATTAAGAGAGGAGCAAATGAAAGAATTGGATTATCAAATAAATTCTTGTTAATAAATCCTAGGATTTCATCGCTCTTGAAATTGTCTTTCGTTTAAATACATTTTGCATCTGTCTTTGGTTGATATAAATTTTAAAGCAGGCTACAAGAGAGAAGATTGCTCTAGAAGAAGAATACCGTCATAAGTGCAATAACATTCAGAAGATTAAGGATCGTGTTAGGAGGCTTGAATGGCAGATTAAAGAGATTGATGAAATGACTATAAGAAGCACACAGGTCCTTTTTATCATTAAAATTATCTATAAAAGGCGCAAACTAAGATCCTTTATGTTTTATGCTCAGTGTTTGGTATGGTGATTGAGGCGTGGTCTA